GAGGGGAGGGGAGGGGAGGGGAGGGGAGGGAGGGATGGATGGATGTTTCGATGCAAGTAGGTGGAACTTTGGAGAAAGGATTGGATATAGACATCTCTAGACGACTGCGTGCCATGGGCATCGGTGACATCAAAGTAGGACTTGTTCCAGAACCATTGCAATTTCACGCCTATACACTCCCGAACACTAACATGGACCGTGACAATGGCCACCTGGAAGGTTGTTTTCCTCTACCAACCAGTGTTGTTTTTTCAGGGTCCATGTTAGTCTTCCAGAGTGTAACGTCTTGTATTGTAATGTCATCCATCTCCCTCCAAAGACACCTGCGGAAACATCAGGACGAATGGGTAAACCATGGTCAGTGGTGTGGAGTAGTCCGGTGATCCAGTCCAGTCAGGTGTCCTATAGTATGTATTGGCATGGTCCTGATTTCGGATGACGATGTTCATCCATTGAACCCGAACAAAAAACACCGAAGATTTTTACCACGAAACCATACCAAACCATGAGGATTCGGGGGGGTCTACACTCTACTACACGCTTCTTCTTCTTCTTCTTCTTCTCAGCCCTGGCACGGCAAAAGTGTTCGCCCAAAACCGTCGGCGAGAACGGTGCGGCCGGGTGTGTTGGTCAGTTCCCTCCCCCTCCCGGTTTGCGCCAAAGGGCTCACGGTGGTCTCTTCCTGGACGGACCGACGGAGGGAGCAAATCGGAAGCGGACATGAGTGAACAAAGCCACACTTAAGTCGGATCAACACATGATAATAGAATATAATAGATTGTCATCCATACCGGTCATGCCATCCACGTAACCATGCTGATTTCTGAGAGTGGAACCTTTGAGAATCAGGGGTGAGTTGATGTGAGACTGTGGAAACCATCATGGTTCAATGGAATCGCCCACCAGTTTGGTGCGCTTCTCTCCCGTTATGAGAGCTGCAAGGGACAAGTGAAGACCAATTCTCCTACTCAGTCGGGCGATGTTCCACATCTGTGAAGGCACCTTGGGAGGAACACAATGGGCTGACCAAGTGGAAATCAAACGTGACGGTCGAGATTCAGTTGGGGAGCTCTCCCACAAAACTAGAAATCGATTCGGTGGGTTCCTCACTGAGGTCGATGATTGACATGTTCGACTCAAGCGAGTAGGGTTCGACCTGGCAAAGGGTCGTTTACACCTAGCTGTTATTCAAATGGTTCGGTTATTCTTACGTGTTACAGGCTGAGGGTGGGCATGGCGCACCACCAAGAAAACATTGGGAACATGAAAAGCCCTAACCGTTGATACCTTCCCAATGCCGTCATCATTGTGGAACCTTGGTCCAACAGAACTTGGACCAGCTGAAATCCCTGTGAAAACCTCACCATCTAATGACCCAAAACCAAACAAAATGGTCTTCTTCCTCTTCAACATGTGAAAACCGAAGACGCTTTGACTACTCCAAAGCCGGTCCCATAAGCCCGCGCGGTGGGACGACACGTCGTCCTCATCTCCGTTCCCTTCGGCTCCGCACCTCCAGCACGAGATCTTCAGGCCCTGCGTCCGCCAAACCTCAGCTCCCCAGCAGAGGTTGAAGAACCCTATAGACTATCCTTTAGGTACCCTTGTGGGGTCCTATGAGGTCACTTAACCTCTGTAGGCCCACCGTGGAGAAGTGTGAAGCAGTGTGAAGCAGTGTGGAGCACGCGGAGCCATAGAAACACTGAAGCTTAAGGAAACCCAACTCCGCTCGTGGATGTTGTTCATCTTGGTGTGGAGGGTCCGACCGGGTCCGCAGCTTGAGAGATGCGTGGAAAGAGAGATCGGGGTCATTGACGGACACGTGGAGCGACAGTGGGCCTACTCGACCAGCAGTTCTGCCCACCCCCCAGTGGGCCGCGATCGTCCGAAACGTCGATGGGCACATCGCCCCAGAGACGAACTAGGACCCGCCTCTACTATCCCTACAGAGGTAGGCAGTGAACTAGGACCCGTCACTAGGAGTACCTAAAGGATAGTCTATAGGGTTCTTCAACCTCTGCTGGTCACCTCTATACTATCACCTCTCTACCTAGGCCAACGGGGCTCGGGTGACCCTCGAGCCGAACAACCACGACGAACCCATGGGGTCAAACGAGACAATCACACCGGTCTGACCTCCTTCGACCGTCGAACATGTCATCCAGGTGGCTACCGCTGCGCCGGGCCTCGCGCTTGAGGGCCTGTTTGCTGCGCAAAGCGCCTCTGGGGCAAAGATGACAAAAGTTGCACTCCGTGCCGCTCTGGCAGCCCTGGCGGATATTTGGGGCTGTCAACTTTGGCTGAATGTGGACGTGTGGGTTTGGGAGTTGAAGGGACTCACAAAATACGTAGCTATTGTCTAAATCATATATTTTTAAATATATATATATATATAATATATGACTTGAGGCCAAGGGGGGGGGGCGAAAGCTAGCGCTCCAGAATGGGAAAGTGGAGGGCAGCGAGGTAGGAAAAAACACGGCGCTCTTTTTGGAGGCAGGGGTGAAGAGTCCTTTATATGTGGTTCTTTGCCCGGATCCTCCTGCGAGAGAAGAGAGAGAAGAGAAACGGAAAGACGAGAGACAGAGAGGAGAGAGAGAGAGAGAGAGAGGAGAGAGATATGAGAGAGATGAGAAAGAGATGAGGGAGAGAGAGAGATGAGAGAGAGATGAGAGAGAGTTGAGAGAGAGATGAGAGAGAGATGAGAGAGATGAGAGAGAGATTAGAGAGATGAGAGAGATGAGAGAGACAGTGAGGATGAGAGAGAGAGAGAGACAGTGAGAGTGAGAGTGAGAGTGAGAGTGAGAGTGAGAGTGAGAGTGAGCGAGTGCGGCCGCAAGATACGCAACGCTAACCACATGCCAAAGAGCGACGACAGGACGGAGTCGAACTTGCGAAGAGGGAGGAGGGAGGGAAGGTGGGAGGAAGACAAGGAGACAAGGAGGAGGAGAGGGGAGGTGAGGAGAGTGGGGAGAGGGGGGGGGGGAGGGGGGGGGGTGGGGGGGGGGGGCTTCGACCTGAAAAATCAGGGGTTAGGATTTGCACCCGATCGAAAGAAACCTTGCTATCGCAAGAGTAACTCCAGCTAGCTTCGCTAGCTTTCGTGATAAAAGGATTTTGGATGGCTCTCGTCAGCAAACCCTGATCATGTTGAGCCCTCTAGTTCATCCTTCTTCTGCTACTTCCCAGCTCTGCCCAGGTGGAGGCCTTGGCGTGCCAAAACCACGCACAAGGCTTGCAAGCGTCCGGATGCCTCAATGGCATCGGCGGTTGAACTCGCCACACAAACGTACACGAACGAATCGATGACAAACTGATGAAAAGCACATTGTTATCATATGTTATCTACTATGTTTACTCGTTCAGTGGTCTCAATCTGCTTGGTCACAACTTGAAGTAGCATGATTTTCCAACATCTTGGAGAAAGTTACCCTAAGGTCATAAGACCTGCAACTGCCAGCGACCTCTGCAGTTTCCAGGGAAAGCGGACCGGACCAAACCTCTGGACCATGGAGATCCCGGCTACTGTAGGTGGTATAGGACACCAGTCATGTCACCCGTGTGTTTAGGAACATGGTGGAGCTGTTTGGTCCAAAGTCATGTGGAAGAACACCTTCGTTTTCTTCGTTCTCACTGACTTTTTGGCTTCAGAGTCCGACGTATTTTGAGCGACGCATTCATGACGTGTTGTTTTTCGTGTCCAAGACGCATGAAAGAGCCTCTGGAGAGGGTTGTTTTGAAGGTCATCTCCACATATTGAGGAAACAATTCCTCTTGGTCCTGGCCCAAATTCATCGGGGACAGGCTCGTGGCGGGAAAGGAAAAGCCAGTTTTCACCATGATATGGAAACGCGAAGTCCTAGGGAAGAACGCATCGGACCATGGGATCACAACTGATGTTCATTGATTTTCCCAAGCACTCCGTGGAACTGGCATATTGACCTCTACTGGGGTCCGCCCCTTAGATCGGAGCTCCAGCTTCCGCCAGGCCCAAGCTCTGGGACGTTGGAGAAACTAGTACGGTATATTAGCTGAATGATTCTGTGACGTCCATCCAGCTGCTCCGGAATCAAGGAACTCGGTGCCAGTTAAAAAATCAACACACACACTTCGAAAAATCGAATGCCCAGTGGATCTCAGCGGTTAAAATGGGTTCAAAACTGGTGACGTTCAGCGACCCCCTTTGCTTCCGACTGGTGTCACCGCGTTCTTCCGCTCGCTCGGGTCCTTACTCCACGGCTTACAGCTCCTGGGAGGCCCGATTTTCTCCGCGGGTTGGTTGGACCAAGCTGAATGTGCACCCCTTTGGTGCGCTGTCCATGCTTCAACGAACGGAAAGGTCGGAGTGAGCTTTCTGCTTTTCAAGTTCTCCCTGAAGAACATCATGTACTTCGTTCACGGCTCCTGCTTCGAATACAAATGCCCCTGGCAGTCGCTCCCTCCTAACCACCAGCTATAGTTGTGGAACATGTGATTGATGTCTTGTCATGCGGACAAGAAAAACATGTTAGTTCCGTAAATCTTCTTTGGACGATGTTTCTGCCTCTCATATATAGTACTAGTGTAGTGTGAATGTGATATATATGGCATTTTACTGATTGAAGAGTCAAGAAAGTACCCCTTTTGTGGACATGGCATGGGCATGGTCCAGCGGATCTTCAACTAGAAGGGGTCATGCCATGCTTTCTGTGGATCTTTCGTTCGATCTGCCCAAGACATCGCGGGCAGATCGAGCTGATCAAGAACATCTTGGGCACCCAAAGCCACAGTTTGGCGAAACTCAACGACCATGAGGCAAAAAAAACCTGTGCCAGCTGGATTCAATTCAATTGAAACCAGCGTTCAAATGATCACCTGTGTGAAACTGGATCACCTGTGCCAGCTGGATCACCTGTGCCAGCTTGGATTCAGCTGAGTGAAGCCTTAAACTGATCCCTCTGCAAGGGATCACCTCTTCAATGAACGACCAAACCTCGCCTCTTCGACTCCCGAACACCCACCACGGCGTCGGGTCGGCCAGGGTGACGACGGGTCGACGGAACCGACTTGGTGCCCCACGTCGGGGTGACCAGCGACATCGTAACCGGATCCACTGGGAAAGTGGTGACAGATCACACAGAGCCAGTCTTGTTTTTGTCCCTGACCCCCATCGACCCACAGACGCAAAGGTTCTGAAAAAAAAGACGGCCTGGTACTGTACCTGGTCTTTCAAGGATTTTCAAACTAAGCATCTGAAGCTCTAGCACCACCCAGTCAGGCTATGGTGAACACGCCTGACTGGGTAGTCTCCCTGGGATGTAGTACGGGGCATCCCCAAAACACGTCCCTTTGAGGTTGCCAAAACGTCAAGACTTTGGAGCACAAGGTTCCCATGCTCTGAGGGCACACATGTAGTGCCAGCGCTCTCAGGGCCTCAGATGCTGGAGCCGGGGCAAAAACATCAAAAACATGTAGACCCCTATGCCACATAACTCAATGTGCAAGTCCGCGTAGGTTTTGGGTAGATATCTGTTTGGAACCGTTTAGATATCCACATATCTGGTAGATACCCACACAATATAGTCATAATCTGGTAGATATCTGGAAGAGACGGCAACCTGTCCCTACCGTACAGAGCAAAAACAAACACAAACAGTGAGTGTTGCTGAGTGTTCAACAGTTTGCCTCGCCCTGTACGCCTCCTATGGATTTGTTGGACATCATTTTCCGGCTCCGAGCGGTGGATGTTCGTCCGACCACACCTGAGTTGAAAAAAATGAAAAAACCGTTCTAAAATCATTATATATCCCAGGTTGAAATCACAGCAATTCCAAGCGGTGGCTACCATGTACACAACACGCGCTCATGTATATGGTTGTATGTTGTGCATGCCCTTTTAATTGCTGCATTCTTACTTACAGAGTCCAACTGTTTCAAATGTCAAGCTGAAAGTAGCCGTCCTCTTGCACCCAGAAACAAGTTGTCAAGATATGGTTAATGGTTTTCCTATCCTTTTTGTGTATACAAAGCCCCGCCGGATGAGGGTGATAGCGACATTGCACAGCGCAGGAGAAAGCTGGGAGCCAATCCCGGCTCCGCGAACCTGCCGGAAGTAGTGTGCAAGCCTTAAAAATGCAAGAATCGAGAGCTAGTGCTACGATAGTGGTGATGTCGCTAGTGTCCAGTGTACGTTGTGTTGGATGTTTGCGATGATGGCGGCCGATGTGGGCGAGTTGGATTGGATCGCCGGTGGTGTGGGTCTGTGCGGGTGCGGGTGTGTGTGTGTGCCGTATGACCAATCAACAAGTTTAGTGACCAATACATGTATATAGTGGTAGACTAGCAGTTAGAATTTTTAGTGAGGAAAAAAAAGAGCTAGCAACCTAGGACTTGCTAGAAAACTGAAAAAGCAGTTAGAATTGTCTGAAGAGAAAAAAACGTCGCACATAGAATTAAAACATCCACATAGAATCAACACACATAGAATTAAAATTGTCACATGGTTGCACGATTACCCGAGTTTGCCAAAACATGAGAGCGTCCAATGACTCGCAGCTTGCGGTGCTTGAGTGAAGAAAGGATTTGAGGAAAGAGAGGAAGGGCAGAGTGTAAAGATAAGGGTAGAACCCCATCAATGCAAGCAAGTGATGCTTAGCTTTCTCAAACAGCAACAATTTTCTATTTAAGGTTTGCGCTTTTTTTGGCCGGCGCGTTTCTAGTTGCAATGAATTTGTCCGAGCTACATTCACAACTGGAGGACGGGTGTTCACAACAAAGTGTAGATTTGGTTTCTAGATGGATGGTATATGATAGGCGACCAGTTTGTTCCTTTGAGAATATGTTTGAACACTTAATTTTGAATGCAGTTAGAATTATTTTTAATGTTCAGGATTAGCCTGCCCTTCAAAGTAGCCAATCAGTTCCAAATGCATCTGGAATTCATCGTTTCGACCGGGAAAAAGGAAAGGCAGCGTTTTTGTTGGTCGTTTTTTTGCTGGTAAAGTGCATGGGTTGCATGTATGTTGGATCAATGGAATGTCATTTCTAACTGCATATTATTTTGCTAATTCTAAGTGCATAGTCCTTGAAAAACAATTCTAACTACTAAAAAGCGCCAATTGCATTCTATCTGTAGAGAACAATCTAATTCTAAGTGCATCCCTAGAACATTTGACAATTCTAAGTGGTAGTCCGCCACTATATATATGTGTTGTTTGTTAATCTTATCTAAGTTACTGTACCTAAGTACTTGATCCTAGCGCCAAACCTAGCGCGAACCTAGCGCAACCGTTTTGCTAGCGCGACGAGGTAACATATCCACTTTAAACACCAGAATACCAAGCGGTGGCCAAGCGATTTCTGAACCTCTGGGAACCTTCCTTACTTAATACATATTACCGGGCTTTATTTTTTTCGACTCACCTGATGAAAGGACCTGGATGAGGAACTGAAGCGAGAAACCGACATCGAAAAGTCATGTAAAGTCTAAGGAAATTGATGTTCTCTTGGAAAAACACCAGGCGGTCAGGTGTATCTTGCTTCCTTTGGAGTAAGTGGGTGTGTTCAAGGTTGCCTTACAATGAGAAATCTCTGGGAAATGGTGTTGGTCTATGTTAAAACCTTTGGGTGGGTGAAACAGCCCAAAGTGGAGTAACAGTGCTTCAAATTAGGCCCTCTCTGCGTTTGATCTGGAAGTGCCTTGAGATCAAACTGAACATCCAACAAATCCTTCAGCGATGCTCGGTGACCAACAGCCCACAACGACTTTCGCCTCGCCAGCCGCAACAAAAAAAAACAAACTTCCCAAAACAGCATCCAAAGTGCTCACAGGGCTTGCGTCGGAAGCGGGTGACTCTGCACCGAGCGACATGAACCCGATCTACAGGTATGCTTGTCTCTCACGAAATCAAAGGCTGCAGGGCCGGCGAATTGATGAGAGCTTGGAGTTTCACACTGCTGGCTTCCTGCCCAATGTTCCACACTTCTCGCTTCACTCGGTGATTTTCGAGCACTCCAGCTTCCAAGAACGGGTTGGAGGGGTTTTGTAAACCATAAGGGGTGACCAGACCACAACAATGAGCTACTTCACCTTTTGCTGTCCAACACTGGCTTCTTTGGAAGATGCAATTCTGATACCAAGACATCGGTTTTGGACCTTTCGCTTCTTGTCGTTCTTTCGTCGTTGTTGTTTCTCACGTGCTTCATCTCTTCCAACCTCTCTCACGACATGGAGTCTTTTTGTGGGTGAGTACCAGAGTAGCCGAAGTAGCTAACATGTTGCCAACTCTTGCACAACCTTGGGGGTATCCCAGTGGTTTTGGGGGGTCAAACGTGTTGCATCAAGGCCAACTGCATTTGGGCTTCACGTGGTTTGGGTCTGCGGCATGATCTTCCAGTGCCACCGGTCCGCCCGTGTCATGGGAGATAGGACTTACACTGTTGAAGGACTATACCAGGACCCACGCGCTCCAAAATGCTATGGAGTGTCCCGAATCACATCTAATATCATCTAATGAAGGGGCGAACTTGAATTTTCGAAGCCCCTCTAGGGCCTCTAGGGCCTTAGGGTGTCCTGGAAGTTGCCGTGTTTGTTCCACCTGGTCGTTCCAGACAGTCCGATGTCCACCTCGACGACCTCGACGACCTAAACCCCGTGCGACCATAGACCGTCTGGTCGCTGGTTCCCGAAATTGGGTCACTGGGATCGGAATGACATCAATCACCCAACTACCATGGACCATGTCCAACTACTTTGCTCTCCTAACAAAGTGGAAAGTATTCTGGTGATGTTATATGTTGATTCAAGAGAATGGTGCCTTTGGCTTCGGTGGTCTCCCTCTCCGGACGCCGGGCACGTTCGATCGGCGCCTGCCGGTGCCACTCCACCCAAAGCACCTCAGTTGTGTCAATCGGTGAAGGCGAAGAGTTTAGAGTTTAGGGATGCATTGAAGGTGGCAACTTCACTGGATGGTCTTAGAGGCAGGAGAACAGGAAAACAAGAAGCAAAATGCTCCTTGGTTTCAAATGGTTTGACAGGGCACCATCCCCAAGGTCACTGGTTCTTTATGCAGTCCCATCTGCAGGACTCTTGGGGTGCCAGTGCCATGTACTTGAAACCTCCGTATCAGCCCCCAGGGCAAAAGCCAAAAAAAACACTCCTTTCTGAGGAAAACCTACAGAGGTTAAGTGACCTCATAGGACCCTACAAGGGTACCTATAGGATAGTCTATGGGGTTCTTCAAGCTGGAAGACCGCACAAACCATGCCTTCTGGTCCACTCCACTTCGTCTTCAGACCTCGTCCCCGGGGCGCCCCGCCTCGGGACGAGGCGGGCGCCCGGGCGGGCGCGGCGGGAAGCGGCGCCGCGAGCCGCGACGCGAGCGCTGGCGCCAGGCGGAGCTGGGCCTGAGAGTGGGTGAGAGAGAAGTGAAGACCATCGAGTGAATGGGTCTGTACTGCTGCTAAATGGTCTTAGAGGTTGTAATATATATATATATACATATATTGAAGTCTACATGTAATTCAAAGATATAGTAGATAGATCTTTAGATATTATTACATGGTACATGCATGCATGTATATATATATATACCTAGATCTTCCAACTATGCAAAATTTATGCCATTTAGTGTATAAAACCAGCCAAAAGGCATACATTTTGCAGAGTTGGAAGATCTAGGTATATATATCCGCTGCATGGAGAATTGTAAATTGTGGATATCTAACGTCATGATAAAACACATGTTCAGAGATTCGGAGCGTTTGGTGGGCAACAGCGTATGCATTTGGGACCTGAAACATGCACCAGTGTGCCATTGTAATCATCCTCCGACATCTTCCGACCAACTGCTGGCTGCCAGTCATGCTTCTCAAACTACTGATGAAGCGATGGATAGTTGTCATATGTCAAAGATTTGAAGAAACTCCTCCTGGGCGCATGGCCGGTGTCATTGGAGCTCGGCCTCGAAGTGGCGAGCTTGAAGATGTCACGAGCCCGTGACCCGGGTCCAAAGCAATGCTATCACAACGAATCCCCCACCAAAAAAATATGCATTTTTCATAGGGAGTCTCCCCATTTCACGGGTTTTGATCTATTCTCCAAGGGGATTGGTCGAATTGGGAGGTCAATTCATACACCACTCATTTCTGGGTTCAGAACATTGATTGATAGAAGGCTGCCAGGTCCGTTCATCTCGATCCAACGTCTCACAACAAGTGCACCGATATCCCGGAAGGCGAAGGAGAGGTCATGATGCAAACCCACTATCACATCTATCAGCAGATATCACCAGTCTTAAAGAAAAACAAACTGTCATTCAAAGGTATGTACCTGATAGGCAGCTGCGCAGCAGCCGATCAGGTACAAGGTACGCTGCAGAAGATGCACACTTGGAGAGACCAAATGCGCATCCGAGAGGGGAAGTGATATGATTCATCTAGAAACATGATGATGTCCTATCTATGATTTCCATTCCCTAGGGATCCAAGTACTAGTACCTTCTCAGGTACGGTGATTGGAGACTGTAGGCGCCTGGGTCGGGCCCAGTCGTACCTAACCTACGGTGGCAGTGGATCCCATCTGGGATTGATCTCCCCAGCCAAATATCTCAACTTTGCAGCATCCAATCCGCTCTCACCACCCACACTCCGTGGCGCCTTGCATCATCGTCGCCGGACCGGCGCCCGCTGGCGGGTCCGTGCGCAGGTCCGGCGGGTCCGTGTGACTTCGACGCCCGGGAGCCGGGAGCCGCGCGCGGGGTCTTGAAGAAGCAGGTTGGACCCTCAGCATGTTTTGAAGGAACCAGGTGTCTTCTCCGCATGAATTGTCTTGAAGATGTGCTCCTGTGCCCAACATGTTCCTAGGGCTGTCCAGTGGAAGCCCATCAGTACTGTGGGGTAGTCCATTCCTCACTCATGGTGTTGCTCTGTTGGGCTAGAGTTCTTGATAGTTTTTGTATGTTTTTGTTTTGCCTTCCTGCTTCATCGTGCACCTCTTTTGCTTTGCAAGCAGCGAAAGCGCTCTTTTTGGGATGCTTGCTTTACATGGCACCAAGAACTAGCCGCAACTTGGGTGCCCACGGTTGAGCCGCAACTTGGGTGTGGCTCTACCAAAAGGTGCATCTGATTTTGTGTCCAGAAGCGCGCCGAACCAGAACTGATCCGTTTATAGAAGGCTTAATTAGACGTCGGCATTGAAGAAAACGTCACACTGGACATCAAATGGGGTTGGAGGAATCATCGGAAGCGTCCCAAATTCCCTGCCCCATGCTTCCCCACCCAGATTCGGTTACGGAAATGTTGGCAGAAAAGCTGATAAAGGAACTACACTCCCAAAAACTAACATAGACCCTGACAATGGTCCCATGGAAGACTATTTTCCTCTACCAACCAGGGGTTTTCAGGTTCCATGTTAGTCTTCCAGGGTGTAGAACCCTTTTCCGTCTAACCATGTTTGTAATTTTTCGTGCATGGGGATGCATGGGGTCCAACTTCGACAAACATGCATGGGTCCTGATGTATCTGTTCTGACAATAGTCATTTGGAGGGAAATGTACAGCCCGAAAAAGCAGTAAGTACCATGTGCCAACTCCCATCTATTGCACGCTTCTGGAACGACCTAACCTCCGGCTTTCTGGTAGGAATTGGCCGGCTCTGTGCAATCTGTATCATCAGAAGGGTCAGGATCTGAATTAGATTAGTGCCTACACACCCAGAACAAGTCGCCCCCAAGCTGATCATGAGAGCCTCCGAACCTGTATCCAAGATCATCCAAGAGGTTACCAATCGATGGCCCCACACGTACTTCTCTCTCTCGGCCCCTGCCTTTGATTGGACACCATCAAGTTGCTCAAGGATGGCCCGATGTATATACAATGTGCTTCATTGATGTTGAACTGAATAGCCGTTGTTACTTGAACCGGCCCATGCGTTGCATTGGGTCTCCAACCACACTTGGAAGTTTGCGGGGAACAACATGCAAACCGATCGTTCCAGCATGACTGCAACACGCAATTGTCCAATCACAATCCTCATGGGTGCGACCCGTTCGTGGAAAAAGGCCGTACGGCCACTATAAAAGCTCTCGGCACGGGGAGCTCACGGGAAAATGGAGTCCCCTTTGATTGGCAGTGTCCTGAGTTGTGGCACACTGACAGTCCATGGCCTCCTGAAACCAGCGATTGCCCTCCGACCAACACGTTTGGAGCTGTTCCTGGGCGGTTGTCTATTTGTGATGTGGGAACAGCATGCTTTTTTCAGTGTTTTTGTTTCAATCTCACTTGGTTAACACATACTATCTATCTATATACATCCGAGAGCTGATGCGGTCATTCATTCCATAGAAGTCGAATACAAAACTGACGCAACGACGGTTTCAAGAACCCTCTCACAAAATAACCTACCTTGAAAATCCACGAGGTTTTCAAAAAAAAAACATAACACGTTTGGTTGACTTAGGTTTTGGGTACTAAGGTACAGTTGCAGCCTGGTTGGCCCAGTTCTTTAGCAGCTTTCGACTCTCGACACGTCTTTGGAAACCACAGCATGCTCGCCGAGTGCAGAAACAAACAAAGCCAGGAGAGGAGCAATTACTGACCAGCCACTGTCATCGCCACTTTGTGGGTTTAGGCTACCCTAACACTTCATGGGACTGGCATATTTACCTACGTGGTTTGGGTGTCCAGTCCCATGGGCAGAGATGCCAGTCCCATCGAGCTCCCTAGGACTTGGTCCAGGCCAGTTTAGTAGAGGAAAACAATCTGTCAGGGTGCGAAAACCCTAGGGTCCACGTCAGTTTCCGGGAGTGTAGATGAATCAATGACCTGTTTACAGGATATATGTAGCCTCTTGATGAGTAAATCCCCCCAAACATGTATTGTAAAACCTCTGGAAAGATGGGGGGTGTTATTAATGAAGAGTTGTGTGCTTGTTGCCCTTTTGTCCCAGCTCTGCGCGCAGCCTCTCTTCCGCCCCAAAAATCAACCAAACTCGACACCCAAGTGGCTGACACAGCTCCGCGCGGATGGCGCCGACCTGCGCGGTGGAGGAGCCTTCGGGGCAAGAGTGGCAGGCCGTCAACCCAAAGCCGTCGCCGTAGAAACCTGCCGTTGGTGCAAAGAGGCGCCGTTTTCCACCAAGGATGGAGCAAAAACATGGGAACACTAGAAAACGATAAGCGTTGATTGTTTTTTTTACATGTGGTCTTCTTTCTGGTGTATTTTGTGGGCTGGGCAGCACTTGAGCCAGGCATGAAACTGCATCGACATCTGCTTCAACGCGGGCTCAAGCTACCATCAAATTGAAAGCAACAGTTCAAGAAAAAGGATTCTCAAGTCTTCCAGTGGTTGGATCATTCTTAATCATGCATCGATCGTCTCTCAGTCTATCATGCATCGAGCCGTCTTTCACCGAACCTTTGGGGCAAAACCGGCAGCTCCCTTGCCCCAGCTGGTCGCTGTAGTTCCCCACCGCACAGGGGATGCATAGGGCCTCCTCGCCCGCCTGGATGCGAGCTCGGCGGGGGTCGCAAGCTCAGCTCAGCTCGGTGGGATTCTTACACGGTGGATCTTGAGCGATAATTCTTGTGGCCTCTGGCACCCATGAAGAATTGGACATTTGTATGCTTTTAGTAGATCTAGCTTTGGAGCTGTGCACAGCAAAGTACAAATTGATTGACGAGGATGGTCACGCAGCCATGTTAATCACCAAAGACCAGTCCAGCCACCAACGTTGGATCCCACGCAAGTTCGCGCAAAGCTGCTGTTCCCCATCAATGCGGTCCTTTCGTCTCTGGCTAAAACAACAGCTTAACAATCCTTAACACCCCCGAACTGCTGCCCGTATAGCTGGGCCGAAGCCCGCAATTCAAGGAATAACATGGTCGAAGCGCACTGTGGCTTAGAGGCACAGCCAAGAATCATCAGCTCCTTTCCCATACTCCGTACCTCCGACCATACTCCGTACCTCCACCATCTTACAACTCAAAGCTTCTCGAATCTGACCATCCTGACCATCCTTTTCATCTATCTCCACATCATCTACAGTCATCCACATGGTCCTATCTTGGGTCTATCCTATTACCCGGGCCTAGCGGATGATGATGGTTAGTAAAGGCCTTGTTCAAATATGATGATAATTGTCAATTGTTTACTGAGTGTTACAGGAAATAGGACAAACCAAAGCCCTATCCACATTCAATCCTCCAAATTGACATCCTCCTCCTCCACCCTGGCACTCCTCCCCAAAACGCGTGGACACTAGCTCCCGCCATGTCACGGCGCGGATTGGTTGGTAGGTGCCCTTGGGACACGCCCAGCAGGTCTCCGCACTGGTCGCCCCTGGGCGCGTTTTTCGGGTCGTGAGGAGTGCACCCGAAGAGGTGTTTCCCTAAAACAAAGCCCGTGCACGTTGAATGCACAGCAGATCCTGAAAAAAGTCATGAAGAAGGCATTCTGGGCGTTTGCTTGCCACACCGACCGTAGGGCAGAAGAGGATGACATTGCCAGCAATGCCCCCAAACTGGTAGACTTTGGAGTTATGTCTGTGGACTTGAGCCCTGGTCTTTCGCATCACAACTTCGCCTTTGGCATGACTGTAGGTGCCAGTCGGGCAGGCCCGGCAGCTGCTCTGGCTGTTTGCGGCCATGGTGTCGCTCCAAGTCCCGGGGGGACACCTGCACCGTTGGAGGTAGGACTAAGATATCTTATGTGTCTCAACCTCACGAGGTCCAAGATCTTCCAAGTATATAATTCAATTCGACTCTTTGACTCTTGACTATATTAAAGCCCCCAGCCCCCCCCCCACTATATATGAATTCACTTGGTGGGTTTTAGCAGTAACAAGTCTACACATTATGGGTGTATCGAGTTGAGTCAAAGTTCCCCCCTCATCACCCTTCACTTTGACAGCAAAATCATCCCACGGCTGTCAAACACATCGATACCAATTGATCACTGCAAAGGTCGTTCTATGCCTTTTCCGAAGGTCGTTCTATGCCAGCGGATGGATTTCTCTCTAAACAGTAAGACCAGGGATTCGGGATTCTTGTGTTTCCATCGGCACCTTCCTGCCATTCGAACATCAGAGCTGAAGGCATGTGGCCTTCACATTTGGACACACACCCGGATGTTCAGGAAGTTCACGGGTTACTAGGCACCAGGCACTTGTAAGATTTTATCTTGGGGGGGATGATCTCAATATGGCTGCTCTCTACTCCCCTCAGAATCCCTTCAATCATCAAGCCCTTCCTCCTTCCAACGACCTCCCCCTTGGAGGTATACGCTCCCACGTTGAAGTGACGCAAATCAGCCAGTCATGAGCCAGCGGACCGAATCTGCGTCCGTGCACGTCTGGAGCTTCGTGGTTTGTTCAAACACACTGCACACTGAACAGTTCCGTAGAAGAAGGTGTCCGTATCACATCACCTGAACCCCAACTACCCTAGGGATCCAAGCACCTTGTCAGGTGATGTCTTCGACACTGATATGAGACGGTGCCAGGGTCCAGCCACCAGTCGTACCTTCTCCTGAGGAGAAGGTACGACTCGATCCCTCTTTAGGGGAGCTAGAACAGTTCCCATTGAGGTGCACGTTCCGCATGACCTTTTCACCGAAGAGTGCCCCCAAGTCCGCATGTCATCTCTATATCCGCCTCGTTTTCCCCCTAAAAAAAGGCTCCGCTGGAGTGATCTCACCTTGAGCAGGTCTTGTTCGAAACGGCCCCGAAGCCCGGGCTGAAGCTGCCCACGGCGCAAGCCACACAGGCCTGGAAGGAAGGGGAAGGAAGCCACGCAAGTCAACAGTAGCCTCCAACATCCGAAAAACGCAGCCATATAGCCCAAGATAGTTCGGAAGTTGAATGGTTCTTGACAGGCGGAGTTCATGTGGTCGCGGCGAAAGTGTTGCAAATCGAACAGGGTCTATCTTGAGAGTTTCTCAACATGATGGCCGATCTGAGCTCTGCCAACAACCCAGGGTTCTCTCACCCAAACCCTCCATGTATGGAATACTTAACTTACCCCTTGTATGTAGGCAAACCACCCCAATGTAGGCAAATATGTCACACATGGAGTGTTTGGATCATGGTCTATAGCACCGTAACCCGCCTCAGGGCCCGTGGCAGCTGACGCGCTGCTGTAGGTGCCAGCACGGCAGGGCAGGCAACTGAGATGAGAGCTGGCACCCTCCTGAGCTGCAGCGATAGCAGCTACATATGCCACGTACGTGCACGGAGGGCGAATCCGTTGGCATCCGACGCGGATCCGTCGTTCGGATCCGGCGGGAAGCGAGAGCGTGGTTGGGGGGCGAAAGCGTCAAACCACCTCCGATCCTGAAGCTTGGTGGATCTGATAAACCCAAAAAAACACAATGCATGACGATTTTGAATGCCAAATGTACCAAGTCTGCACGCCTGGGCATTGTACCGGCCTGGATGGCAGCTCACGCAGGCCTGCGCATGAGAAAAAACATAATGCACGGCGTGTGTTTAGGTTCTGTTCATCATTAACAAACAGCTGGATCCTAACATTTTAGAATGAGGTTAAGGGAATGCCTACAGGAAACCCATAAAGAGTTTTCGGGGGTGAAAACCACTTTCCTGATGTCCTGGAGTTTTTCCGGTTTTCCCGTCCGCCAATTCTTGGACAGGGGTAACTCTTCATGCAATTTGTACTAGGAATGATGGAATGCAGGAACTGCTTGAATCATCTTGAAGCGTTTTGACAGCTTGGTGCTGCTTCACTAGGTGTATCTTGGTGCATTTTTGGTTGAGTGAGCAACCCTCGAAGCCATCTCCTGCCTCCTCCGACACGGCCGCGGTTTGTGGGCTCCATTTGCCCTTGCCGCATTTCACGCAAGTCTTCCTGAGCGCAGCAAATGCTGCACCGGCCCCGCAGCCGAAACAGCCGTCGTGAGGGAGCAACGATAGAGGGCTAAACTGGGTCAAACCACAAACAAAAGAAACCGCTTGGTGGTTTCCACTAACTGCTTGGTGGCTTCAACCGACTTGAACAAATTAGTCAGTCAGTGGGATCAATCATGATCAATCATCCCATGCAAAGGTTGAACATTTGTATCTGACAGCACCACCCAAGAGAAGGAATCACATAAACCTCGAAGTATTGCACTGCGCTACTCAAAAACGTGGACCATTCCCTAGTTAGCTACCAGCCACGAGCATTCTTTATTTTTTGGCTTTGGTCAATCACAATTAAAAAAACCTCCTTGTGGGTCCTGGTGGTTGCCTGGAGGAGAAATTCAGACCGGCAAACTCTTAGCTCGATATGAGCCTGCCCTTGGGCGTTGTCAAACGGCCAAGCCTTGTAGCGGGTCATGGTGTTTTCAGGAACAGTGACCTATATCGGAAAATAGACAACAAGAAGGCAGAAGGATCCAGCAAACCCTCACACGCTTTGAACAAAGAGGCGTAGCTCCCACTTGGTGTTTTCACAACTCCCGGAAGTAGCTGACTCTGGCATACTCGACCTAGTAACCTAGCAAGTGAATCCAGGACATCTCCGACATTCTCCTATAACTATATAGATCCACATCAAGGCCGACACATTCGACGCATCAAATGACTTTCCACCCAAGCAGCGCGCTGGTCGCGCCCGCGTCCGAGCTCCAGGTGCCTGCTGGGCAGACCTGGCAATCGCCGATGGCACCCAAGCCGGTCCTGGCGATGGATGCATCCTGCTGGTCTATTCTTTTTGCCGGAGGGGGATCTTATCCATGGGGAAAATAGAAGTTAAAAGAATCATCTTAATAACCAGGATGAACCAGGTGGTTCAATGAGATGCCCAAAGACTCCGTGGAACTGACAGCCACATTCCTTCAAATCCGATCAATTCCGATGGTGGCACAGGTCCAGGAGCATCTGGGTACAGCGGACACGGGCCTAGCAGGCCTAGCAGATGATCGATCCACTGCGATCCATGCACCAATCGTCTCCCTTTCCCTGTTAGGGACAATGCCCAGGTCCAGGAACGACTCAACCTCCGGTCTGGACTTGATCAAAGGGGTTTGGATCAAAGGGATCTCATTTTAACCGCGTTGGGTTGAAATATGTTGAAATTCTATCCTGGCATTCATTGAGTGATGTGTCTATGAAATACCGGGCTTCGCGGACTCACCAAGGCTGGGAGTCTACATGAGTCTACTCACCAAGGCTGGGAGTCCTTGATACTCAGCTTCTCCTGGAACAGGAGACCTGCTTGACGGCCTGCTTTGACGAATCGGAACGTGCGCAGTGCGGACTGGCCTCCAATCCCAAATGCAGCAGTGCAAGGATGACCAGTGACTATACTCACTGACCTATCAACCTATCGACTCGGGATGAAGCATCGTTGGGTCTATCCCATTAGCAGTAACAGCTTCAAACATTCTGATATATTTGTGTACTGATCACAACCGTGTGGCACATGCCCCGGAGTGGAGTGCCCTCGTGGTCCTGTTGCTCCAATGGCCCGCTGGGCACTTTTGGCAGGCCTCACGGTGTGGCGAACTCTGATAGCCTGGACGCTGTTTTCGGTGTCACCCACTGAAGAAAAACACGACAAACACCTGGACCTTCGGTGCGTCGATGGGGTGCCCAGAGATGGTGAGAGGTAGTGTAGTGACCGGTGACCCTGACAGGAAGGTGCGACCAGCAGGTTTCCGTTGTTTTTTCGACCCACTGTGAGCTCTCACCAGTGACCTGGTGAATCACAGGCCGCGCCCCCCGACCGGATGGGTCCAAGGCCGCTGTCTCCGCAGTCAGCAACGTATGTATTTCAGTGGCATGTGTTTTATTGAATAGGCAGCAATGAGCCACTGGACCCAGTTGATTGATACCAACCATCTAACACAGGTTTCAAATGAACATAGTCCCCTTCAAGGAGCACCCCTCCACATGGAGAACTGACCCATCCCTTGGTCTGAGAACTACGGCCCAAAGAACCACCGGTGCCCCACAGTGCTTCCTAACTCAATGGATGGGTGAGTTAGGTCTAAAGAGATGTTCCCTGCTGGAAACCATGTATTGAAAGCGCCTCACCTATGGCTACTGACAGGTTTCCGAAGTAGGATGCGGCAGTCACATGTGGTGTCCCATCCGGCCTCAGGGGAGATGGCACCCTCTTGGCTGCTCCAAGTTCCCACAGGGCACTGAATGCAGTTCCTCAGCTTTGACCAAGGATCAAGTCTTAGACAATTCATAACCCGCCCGTCTCCAGAATGGTTGTGCGTCCTCACATTAGATGTTGAGAAACCCTGTAGCTACAGGCCGCCCCTTCCAAGGCCAAGGCGGCCAAGCTCGAGACTCCAATACTTCGGCTGTGTTTCATGGTGCCTTCCCTTCACTATCAAATGGCGGCCCTGGGGTTGTCACGCGCTGACTGTCCGTGCAGGTCTCGAGATGTCAAAGCACATTCCGCGAGAGTCCAAGTGTCGCCACGATGGTTTGATCAATCCCTCGTCTGCTTCGTAAACTGAATGGAACAGTGACATGGCATAATCCCCAAATTGCTTTCATTTTTCTTTGGGGCATCCGGGGGCATCTTGTTGCTGCAAACAGGGGGGCGCCGAAAGCAGTAGCCACTCGGAAGATTCGTTCCGTGAATGAGTCTGTCCATCCCATGTTCTGCCATACCCTCCAACAACATTGAACAAAAAACACCTGAAAACCTTAGTACCTTATGTAAGTTTCTGTTGACTAGAGGACTAGAGGAGTTCGTCACGATTCCTGCAGGGCCGCAGCTATCCACCTTGTAAGATTGTTGGACCATACATGACCATACCGGGTATGCTTGAAACATACGAGCCGTGACCAGTTTGAGAGACCAAGACGAAGGATCGCTGCCCAGTTGGGGTCGTCGCTGCCCCGGTTGACTGGTGGAACCAGCCAGGAGTCCGATCCTACCTTCCATCCAACAATCATCCGGACCATCCATAGCAATCATTCGGACCATGCGACTGAAATATTCACCTTAAAGCATCTCAAAACCACCCAAATGTAGGGCAAAATGAGGGCAAATATGCCATTCATCCAATCCCCAATTTTAAGTGGATAGAATCCATCCTTGGCCTTAGCAGCGTGGCCTTTTGCAGAGGGCTGTCCATTCTTTGCATGATTCTTGCATGATTGTTGGATGGAAGGACTTCCTCACTGTCACATCCAAGCCAGGTCATTCACTGGTTCGTTCTTCCTTCTTGGTTCTGGTGCTAACCAGTCCTTAGGTTCATAGGCCCCAGATCCAAGAAAGGGGCCCAGTCAAACACGGCAAAATGATCCAACCAATGCGATTGGTGGCCCGAGTTGCTCTTTGCTGCTTCGTCCCCGTTGGTCACTCCAGCTTCCAGCTGAGCCTGGGCTGTGCAGCAGTCACAGAAACCAATTGGACAACACCATGTCTTGACACAGTATGCCCACCAAACGCCATCTATAGACTTTAAATGACAGTTCTTTCATAGCCTCCTCACATTGTAGATTGTAGATCAATCAAACATGGACATGTCTTAAAAACGTGATGGCCATCGTTGGAACCCTAATCAGCGATGCGTAACAAATACAGAAAAAATGATTCTTCATAACTATCTATATATGTACAATTAGGTCCATGTCAACGACCCTATTGAGGGCTACAAACTCAAATGTTATCCTAGAATTCGAACCATCACTGATAGACGTTGCCCAAGAACCATTGTTGTACTCAAGGTTAAACACTACAAGGCCAGGTCAACCATTCTTGAACGGATCTTTGAAGATCTTTGAAGAATAGTTTTCTTCGCCATGCAACCTTCCTCTTATTGCACTGCAACGATCTCTGGAGGTCCCATCAAAGCCCAGCGGCATCTCTGGCAAAGCTCCATGCCCTCTGAACTCCAAGTGCCCTCAGGGCAAATCATGCAAGGACTGCCCTTCACCTCGGCTCACTCCGGTGTCACCCGGTGAACTGACCGGCCTTCAAAACGGGTGTGCCAGGGAGGTCCACTGATCGGTAAATCATGTCAACATAGGATTAACCAACCCCCCCCTATTAATCAAGCCCAGCTGGAGCCTTGATACTAAACTACTTAAAATCCTTATCAGGGGGAGGTTCCTTGCCAGTCCCAGACAGGTCGTGTCTGGGTGTTGAACCTCGGTCCTCTTGAAGATTCTAGTATGGGATGTTCACCAGTCATGCACCCTGGGCCCCCACCATGCACCGAGCGAACCCCGTGCTGGGCCTCCCCGCGGGCTTCCCATAGCCGGACGGGCACGCCTCATCTCCACTCCTTGTGCTGCACTCCAGGTAGTAGTCCTTACCCTTCTTCTCATAGCAATTGCCACTGGCAGGAGAGCAAAAATCCGTGCAGCTAGCACAACAATTGAGATGCGTCCGGCTGGATGTGTCGCTCGCTCCGTCTGCAAACACCTGCATCAGCCATGCCGCAAGGATGCAAGTCAAAGTCATGGGTAAGACCGTCAATTCTGCCAACACTCTGCAAATTTGGCCAATGAAAATCTTGAGCCGATCAATACACATATGCATCACAGGGTCAGGCACACAAGGAGAATCTCTTTCAGCTCTGCTTTTGCATTTCTTTACTGAACACTTTGTCTAGTAAGTCTAGTAGGTCTAGCATACCCTGGCTCATTCAAACACAAAATCACGGATCATGTAGCTCTCGGTGTCTAGGCGCCTACTCACGAACCAAAGCGGAGGAGGTGGAGAAACCTTTACAAACACCCGGATCCACATTTGCTGCAGTCGTTTAAGGATGATTGCGCTGTTTCATTGAGTTCAACCAACGGATGCAAATGGAATAACAATTGATTGACCCAACCAACGTCGTCAAGATCTTGGCCCTCTTGGCTACTGCGCCACCCACGTTTGGTTTCTGTCCGTTCACCCCTCTGGTGGCCCAATCTGATGCGAAGGGCATCACATGATTGATTGATTCCTAGCACTTCCAATGGGTGCCCTGTCTGGAGACCTGCAAGTAGGGCAGGGTAGTCTAGCCAGGACAACCCCACAGGATGATGGTTGCTCTGAAACTTTTTGCAGGCAACAATTCTATGCGCGCTCCATCCACATCTGTCGTCAAAGGCACGTGATCGATTCTAGATTTGAGTCATCATCAGTGATTGCTCTTTTTCCAGTCTCCTACTAAATCTACGGCTGGAAACGAAACGAAAAGAAATGCGCAGAACATTCGCCCCGTTTCATTGCCCTGCGGCGCAGCATGACTTGCCGAAGATCATAGCACTCCACTCTACATGGACCACAACAAGGCATAGTAAGTAAGGGACCCTCAAATTGTGCCACAACAGGCTGGCATGGCCAAACTTTACCATTCATCTCTGGATCACGCGCCTGACTCAAGCTACGCAGCTACGCTACTTCATTGTAAGTCTTCTGTCACCTGTCCTTGTTGACAGGTCAGGGGCAGGATCCAGCACTTCGGTGCCAGAAAATCGTTTTCAGCCTTTCCGCAAGAGTTCATGATGTTCCCCAACAATCCATGTATGGAAGGTTTGCCGACAGTGGGCTGATTTTAAGTCATATTAAGGGTCAATGTAAGATATTAAGGGTCAATGTAAGATATTGTAGCATTGTAGGATATTGTAGGTATACAAATGTAGTTTATGATACATATTCCATACACGGACGGGATTATGGATTGATCATGTTCTTGCCTCTGTTGCAAAAACCCGAGATTCTGGCACTTCAAGGCAGCTCCTGATTTTGTTTTCGGCCTCATGCCAAGCTGAAACGCTTGAGATGAGCCGCGCGTTCCATTGAATTAGCCCGGTTCGAGCACCAGTCACTGTCTGAGTACAAGCTGACTCCTCATCACATTCAACTTCTTAACCTGAGTGGTCGAGCCTTCCTGTCCCACCCCTGCTCTGGGTGACTTTGGGCGGCCCAACAAGTGAGTTCAAGCAGCGGCCCGAACGATGGCCCCGTCCGAGACCGAGACCGAGAGGTCCGACGCGTCCGGTTGGTCCGCTCTCGGTTTCGGCCGGTGTTCCGTCGCATCCTGAAGGGACCTGAAACATCCTGAAGGATTCTCCAACACGTGGGGCGAAGAACCAAACTATATGAACATGGGCCCATGGGGCTGGCACACCTGTTGTGCAGCCCTTGAAGTGACCATGTCGCTGCATTGAGTCTCTTCATGTTTTGCTGTAGGAAGCCCTGAGCCCTTGCTCAGCCCATTGAGGACCCACTGACAGGGATCTGAAATGAACCCGTATGACTTGCTGCATGAGGAATGACTTGCAGCCAGCTATAGCCACACCAAGTAACTATCCCCGTCCACTGCAGCCAAGCGTTCCGGGAAAGAAGCCCTGCCCGCCCTGCCCTAAGCAACGGGCCTGAGAACATCTCTTCAATTTGTTCATAAACGTCATCTTAAACATAAGGAAGTTTATAGTCTAGTCGACCCGTGTGCGACGAAACCGGGCGACTATCGATGCGTGCAACCAAAAGCAAACATGGCGCAACGCGCAACGGTTTTCCCTTCAGGAAAGCAAAGGTTGGCTCGGGCCCTGATGCCCGGCGGGTTCAGGAGGTATCATGGCGACAAGGTCAAGTGGGTACATGCTAACCATGCTCAACTTTCACACTGGAATACTTTTCTTTTGACCTTGTTGTCACTTCCCTCAACTGAATGAGCGGCTTCTGCAACCACTCCAAGAGCTCTCGCCTCAGATCTTCAGAGATCTTCGTGAGGCTGTCGGCTCGCTGTAGTCGAGTGGGAACCCAATGGATCGCATGCCTGCTGATCACTTCTTGGATTGAACGTATGTTCACCAAGCTCCGTTTGTCTTCTACGGTTGGATTGGGAGCGGTGATGCTATCAAAAAGGCTCTTGCAATCTGTGGCCAAAATGGCCCTGAGTCTGGGACCCACTCTGTGGGCGGGCTCTAGGAAAATCAGCTCACCAAGGCTGTACTGCAAGAAAGCTATGCGATCTGCAGCTGAATCTGCTGCTACACTCTCGGCCGCGAGCGTTGACCTGCAAACGCGTTTTGAACGCCCTGATTTCCAATCGCAGATTGCTCCATGACAGGGGGCTTCGGTAATGGTGGCCGGTGCAACAAACAAAAGGCAGCCATGCTGGCTGGCTGATCCCTGTGCATTCGCCCAACTGGCGTCACTGAAAGCCATGATGACTGAGCTGTCATCCACCGGAACTGGAAAAATCCTCAGTCCCAACTCTGAAGATTCCTGCACATAGTCCAGCGTCTTGTACAAATGATCGAGATCGGCATATGTCGTCTCCTGGCCTCGATTCGACAGGGAGATGCTCGAAGCAATGTCGGGACGAGACTGCCCTGCAAGCCACTGCAGGCAACCGCTGATCGAACGGAACTCTGGCCAATGCCGTGGGTCCAACAAATCACTCTTCTTGAGCCCTTTGTCAACACGACCCTTCTCGATGCTTTTGATGAAGGTTTGCTGAACAATGCGTAAAGTCTGAACTGCTCCAGTGCGTTCGAGGTGCAATTCCTTCCCCTTAAAAGTCAGGGGTTTTCCTTCCTCAAGAAACTGCTGTGCACCCCACTTGAAGCTATTCAAGAACTTTTCGAAAGGAAAGGCTGGATTGAATGTAACCAAAAAGTCATCAACGTAGCAAATGAGCACTGCGCAGGGTGAGTTTGAAGCTGGATCAACATAATAAAACATCATGCTGTCAAAGCTGTGAATGCGGAACCCAAGCTTCTCCAACCTCGATGTGACTTCGCAGGCCCATGTGTATGGTGCGTTGCTCAAACCATAAAGGTTACCAACAATCTCATACAATGTGCTTGTAAATGCCTTTGCCCTCTTGATGATGGGGTCAACTGGAGCCTTGAGATACAACTTGCCAGCGCGCTCCGAAGGATCCTGCTGGCCTTGAAGAAAGGCCGTTGCAACATCCCCACACCAAAGCCTCCAGGTTTGTGGTGATCTGAAAGCCTTGCCATGCAATCCGCTGACAAAACTGACGAAGGTCAGCATCTCTGAGACTCTGCTGGGCGTAGCTGCTTGCCTGGTCAAAGACCTCAAGTCGGGATCCTGATTGCCTCTGGCGACGATCCTGGTCTTTGCACGCAAAGGTGGGACATTCTTGTTCTTGTCCCGGTAGCAAGCTCTGCTCGAAATGACCCTCTTCCTCAACACTGGATCATTGAGGATCTTCTGGGCTTCATCTGGAGGAACCGGTTTCAAGGTCTTCCACTGCAAAAAGCTCGCCTCTTCCTTCTGCGTGGCCTTGACGAACTCCTCGATGTAGTCGTCAGATTGTGCCATGATCTCTTTCCAGTGCAGTTCTTTCTCTATGGCTTTCTGCTCCTGTCTGGTGAGTTTGGCCGGATGGCCCTGGGAGAAGTCTTCAACGTCGGTCTCCGTGTCACTAGGCCGACTGCTGTTGTCTTGAACTGTTTGGGCCAACGATGTAGCATATATCTTGTAATAGCTCTTGCTGGGTGGCAAAGGGTTTTCCGATGAACCGTCCCAGCCAAGCTCGACTTCTTTCACGCCGTCCTCAAAGACCTCAAAGGTGGTGGTCTCAGCTGGTGGCGTGGACGACCAAAGCTCTGTGACAGTGTCCTTGAACTCGCCAAAGTTCCATTTCTCGTCATCCTCAGTGGAGCTATCAAAGATGCCCTCAAAGATGATGTCTCCTGAGATGGCGTCAATCGTGCGCCTCCATTTGACGTAGTTCATGATAGCGTTGTCCAGCTGTTCTGCCGAGGTGCATGGAATGCTGTCTACGATCTTTTCGATCAACATCCTGAGAGTGCCATTGTGTCTTTCTATGACACCCAGCTTGTGATGTGCTTCAGGTGGTATGAACTCCAAATGAGTGCCTCCTCCATCGCAGAACTCGTGAAAGTCTGACTTGAAGGCTCCATCATCGTCAACGGCTAACCGGAGTGGGTAGCCAAAGTTGCGAGTCCAGGCGGTTCTCAATGCCTGTGCAACATGTGAGGGCTGTCTTGATTCCAACCTGATGGCCGAGTGAAGATGTGTTGCTTCACAAATGACACCAAGGATGGGATAGTTCTTTGAGGTCAAATCCCTGGCATAGAATATGTCGGCCTGAAGGTTGTCAGCAAACTGCCCCAAATATTGTGGTGGTGCTGCAGGATTGGGCGCTGTAGGAGTCTTGGCCCTTTGACAAGATGCACAACTCATAGCCCTGGTCGCCTTTATCACATGATCACTTGTGATCCCATTCAGCGCCAAAAGCTTGAAGAGCTCTGAAGGGGAGAGGTGTCCCATGTTGCGGTGCATTCTGGCCACTGCAGCTTTGATAGAACGATCAATGCCACTGGTGTTTGGGAACGTGATCTCATCATGGAAGATCTCCTGTGTAGGATTGCTTCTTGCAGCTTGTGCCGTTGGCAACTGATCTTGTGCTGCGAACTCTTCCCCCGGGACTCCGTGCTCCTCATCGGCCATGTTGGGATAGCCGTAAAAGAAAACACCAATGTCAACTGGCGACTTGAACCGGCCACGTGGAAAGTGTACGTCAGACAAATCTTCACTGACTATGTCCAGTGTGTCCCC